TAGCTACTTGGGAGGCTGAGTTCAGGAGGATCAAGGGTCAAGACCAGCCTGAGCAAAGAGTTGTAGAGACCCTCATCTCTAAAATAACCAGAGCAAAATGGACTGGAGGCATGACTTAAGCAGCAGAGCACCTGTTTGGAAGTACGAGTTTAAACTCCAGTCACATGTACACACACACACACACACATCTGAATAAATATATGTTAATAATTGGCAGGGTTAAATGGGCTGTGATAGAGAAAAGGGTATGTTAGGTGTAGAGTGTTAAGAACTTAATAGGTTGCAACAATAGATAATGCAGTAGTGTCTTAATAAGTTCCATTATCAATTTAAATTATTCATACTGAGAAAAATCTGTCTCCAAAGTGAAAAGAGTGTCTCTGTGCACAACTTATTCTCTCCATCCCAATAAATCTTTGTCTCTCCCCTGAAGTCTTTTTCTTCTCTGAAGTCTCAGGGAAAAACTTTCCTTCTTTCTTCTTACTGGAATAAAACTTAGATCCTTTCCTAAAGTCCTAAAGTGTTCATTCTTTACTTTTTTTTTTCCTTGTGTGGTATCAGGGTTTGAACTCAAGGCCTTGCGCTTGGTAGGCAAGAGCTTGAGCTACTCCCCAGCCCTCATTCTTTATTTTCTCACTGGCATTTTTCCTTCTGCTTTCTAAATACAAACTTTCTGTGTCTTTGAAAATACTTTAACCTTCAAGGTGTCTGGCTCCCTACCTGTTTCCTTCCTTTCATAGCTGAACTCTAGTGAAAACTTGATTCTCTGGCTATCACCGATGACCATCACAGACAAATAAAATGGGTTACCTTAATTTTTATTTTTTTAACCATTGCTGCACTTGTCACAGTCCATTAGGTCCACTTTCTCTACTTTGGCTGCCTTAACACTTTTTCTCCCACTTGCTGACCATTCTTTTCTTAAGTTTCTCTTTTGTTTTGTTTTGTTTTGGGTACTGGGGTTTGAACTCAGGGCCTTCACCTTGAGCCACTCTACCAGCCCTATTTTTGTGAAGGGTTTTTCAAGATAGGGTCTCGTGGAACTATTTGCCCGGGCTGGCAAATAAAACAATTTACTTCTAATAGAAGTAGTTAAATCATATAAATTAGTAACTGAGGCTGTGCCTTTTCCTTAACTTCAGGTATTGAAAGCAAGGACTGGCAGACCCCAGCCCATAGGCTAAATCCAACCTGCCACCTGTTTTTATATGGACCACCAGCTAAGAATAACTTTCACATTCACTTTTTGTGACAGGTCAGTGTTCATAAATAAAGTTTTATTGCAACACAGCCATGCTCATTTGTTTACTTTTTGTCTGTGACTGCTTTCATGCTAGAATGGCACAGTTCAGTAGTTACGATAGAAACTATGTGGCCTGTAAAGCCTAAATTATTTACTGGTTGGCTCTTTTCAGAGAAGATTTTTGGGCCCCCTTATCTAAGTCTCCTTAACTTGGTTTCAAAGTCTTCTGACAACAGTCCTCATGTGTCCATTGAAGCCCCTTTGCTGTGACTTCTAACATGTACCCTGATAAGTCCTGTAGTGTTCAACCTTTTCTGGTTTTTTTTTGGGGGGGGCTGGGGTTTTAACTCAAGGCTTCGTGTTTGCAAAGCAGGCACTCTACCTCTTGAGCCAAGGTGCTCTACCACTCCAGTCTATTTCACTGTGGTTATTTTGGAGATGGGGTCTTGTGAACGCTTTGCCTCGGCTGGCCTTGAACCATGATCTCAGCCTCTCAAGTAGCTAGGATTATAGGCACAAGCCATTGGCGCCCAGCTGATGTTTGGCTTTTTCTCTGTAGAATGTCTTACCACCCTCCCTGTTTATACTGTACATTGTTCAAGGCTCAGTTGGAGGTTTTGCTTCTATAATAACTATTTTTCACTTGCTTTCAGTCTGTTGATCCTCCCATTATTTTGAACTAACTCATCAGCAGGTTTCAGTTTATACCATATTGTGAGGCACTAGTATGTAGTTCTCTTTTTTCTTTAGATAGTCCATATTTAGAACATTCTATGTTCTTCACTTTCCCATGTTTTCCCATGTTCTCCACTTTCCCATCCTTGAATATGCAGTAAGCTCCTTGAATGAAAGGACTTTGTCCTCCCTTCATTTGAGTATTTAGTAGGTGGCAATTCATTTTTGCAAATCATCCTTTTGCATGACCTGATCTGTATATTTAGAAATAACCTCTTTTTTTCCCTTTGCACTTGCTTTTTTTTTTTTTTTTTTCAGTACTGGGGCTTGAACTCAGGGCAGTGACTTCACCTTCAGCCACTCCACCGGCCCTTTTTTGTGAAAGACTTTTTTGAAATAGGGTCTCTAGAACTATTTGCCCGGGCTGGCTTCGAACTGTGATCCTCCTGATCTCTGCCTCATGAGTAGCTAGAATTACAGGTGTGAGCCACCAGTGCCCTTTGCACTTGCTTACCTTCTCTAATGGGAAATATATGCAACTGATGAAGTTAGCATTTTGTTTATAATGACTTACCCAGCATCTAAGTTATTATCTACTTAGTAAATATAAAATACTTCTTTATTATCTACTGATCTCAGTTTCTTTTATTTAGACTTTAGCTGGGAGACTGTAGCAAGAGGTAGGGAAGTTAAGTCAGCAATAGATGGGGTATTGTGAACTATTTGTCCAGGCTGGCCATAAGTGTCCAGCAGTTTCTACCTTAATTTCTGTTTTGTTTTTTGTTGTTGTTGTTGTTTTGCAGTACTTGGGGCTTGAACTCAGGGCTCTCCACTTGAACCACTCCTCCAGCCCTCTGTCTTTATTTTCTGACGTTGCAAATACTGAAACCAACTGGCAAGCATTTGGGGCTGGAAGTGAGCTCCGTTGTAGAGCATAATAAGGTCCTTGATTTAATCCCTACCACTAAAAAAAAAGAACAAACAAATAAAGAAAGACAACTGTCACCAACAAAATGTAACTTTCTGGTGCAGGCCTATAATCCCAGCCCTTGGAATGCTAAAGCAAGAGAAATTTGAGTTCAAAACTAGCCTAGTCTACATTTGTGAGACTCAAAAAAACAAAGAATGTAACAAAACAACAACAAAAAACATAACTTTCTTTTTTTCACAGCATCCCTGTTTAAGATTAAAGTCTTATAATGGTTAAAATATAACTAAAATAAATCTTCAGGAGCAGTGTAGGCCCTTATTTAGGAAGGAAAAATATATATTATGTAAATGATTTATCCGTAAATTGACATAGACTTGCTTAGTGCTTTCCTTTAACCTTTAGTTTTAATTTGGTTTCACCTTTAGTTTCATGTTTAGCTATGCCTTCTAGTGACTCTAATGACAGAAAGGCTGTAAATGGATTTGAGTTAAGTTCTTGCAAGAAGTGAGTATTTGGCATAGAAAAGCCATTTCTTCAATATTAAGAGTAGAAAGAGCAAATTAAAGACTATTCTTTAATAACCAAATGTAATTATAATGCATTGTCAGATTTATGTTTTAGTACCTCAGAGGCATTGATATTGCCTGTTTCTAAAATGAGATTGCTGATTTAAAAAAAAAACAAAACAAAACTTTAATATATAGAAAATCCTAACCTCCTTTTAATTGTGATGCTTATAATTTACAGATGTTTATAATTTGCATTGTAAGATAGAAATAGGTCCTGGGGAGTTGTAAACACACTTAAGGTTTTGTCACTTACAAGCTTCAGGCAGAAGAAGTCTTTTTTTCTATAATCAGGTATTATTTAGAAAATGACAATATTTATTAAGTTCCTTGGAGTGTTCTCAGTGGTACTAATCAGAACCTCAGCACCACCCCATTTTTGTTCTCTTGGAGTAGTTTACTTGCTTATCTTCAGTAATTCAAAAAAGAGGCAGTTTGGCTTTCACTGATATTCTGGTTTCTCCTTTTCTAGGGCTGCTCATGTGGGCAGAGTGGCAGCGCTTAGCGGTTCAGACATTCCTGCTCACCCTTGGCTCCTCCCTGAAGGAGCATAAGAAGTGGAGATGAGGGCCCCAGAGGTGATCACTGTGGGCTACTGGTTGGTAGACTCAGGACAGCCAGAGGCCCACATATACAACTCTGAGAACAGTCCTGTGTCACCCTGGCCCGACTCCCAGATCCAACTTTTCACTTCTTTTCCCTACCCCATCCCCAAAGCACTGATGATGTAATAGTGAGAGGCTGGTAACATGCCTGGGGATGCAGGGATCTGTGTAGTCCTTGTTAAGGAGTCTTACTCTGAATGCATCCGTATGAAAAGTATAGAGGGGGGCAGAATAAATGATTCCTTATGTCAACAAAAAGTGCTATTGTTTTAAAAAAATACATTAGACTGAAGTAGCAATAACTAGATTCTCCTGTCTTCCTCTGACCTTGAAAAAGACACATAACTTCTCTGCATGTCTCTTCTCTGGACCTGGGGTAATGTGTGCTTCCTAGCACTGTTGTGTAGATGAGATAACCTACATGAAGTGTTCTGAACTCCTTAGAGGATGATGTCAAAGCAATGAAATGCAATACTATTAAAGATCGGACAAGAGGAGGAGGAGACAGACCTTCATTTTCTTCCTGAATCTTGTAATCTTTGCAGATGGGTGGGTCTTTTGAAGGCCCTCTGTTCCTTAGGTTGCTGTCCTGGGGGGTTCCATGCTTGCGCGCAGAAAAAATGCCTTCTTACCCTCTGAAACTACGTTCATCAGAAAGGCCCTGGTGTGCTTTACCCTTTCAGTAGGGGGCAAGTGTGATTCCCAGGGTGCTGGACTAGGGGAACTGAGACCTGCTAGTGGAAGGCACTTGCACCTCTCTGCAGGCCAGGGAGAGACCGTCATAGACTGTGTGTTCCTTCACCACCTTGCCTGCTTCTTCACAGAATACATGGCCTGGAGCCTGGGCAAATCCATCCACCTTCGCTGAGAAAGGAACGTGAATCCAGAGGCCAGTGTTTCAACCTGTGAAGTCCCCTTGACCAGAGCACCTCTTGAGTGGTTCAGCAGTGTGAGCGCGGTTGTGACTGGGCCCACCAGCCATGTCCTTCAGTGCCACCATTCTCTTCCCCTCCAAGTGGCAGCGAGGCCAGATGCTGCTGTGCCTGTAAGAGCGAGAGTGGTGGGGGCAGCACTGGCTCTCAGGGCGGTAATCCTCCTGCCAGCACCCCCATCACGGTGACCGGACATGGCCTGGCGGTTCAGAGCTCGGAGCAGCTCCTTCACGTCATCTACCAGCGGGTGGATAAGGCAGTAGGCCTGGCGGAGGCCGCTCTGGGGCTTGCGCGGGCCAACAATGAGTTGTTAAAACGGCTCCAGGAGGAAGTGGGTGAGCTACGGCAAGGGAAAGTGGGCACCCCTGATGAGGATGGGGAGAGCCAGGCTCACAGCCCCCCACGCGAGGAGCCGGGGCCTCTCAAGGAGAGCCCCGGGGAAGCCTGCAAGACTCTGTCTGCCGTGGAGGAGGAGTGCGACAGCGTGGGCAGTGGCGTGCAGGTGGTGATCGAGGAGCTGCGGCAGCTGGGGGCAGCCTCGACCGTGGGGCCTGGGCCCGTGGGCTTCCCAGCCTCTCAGCGCGACGTGCGGCTCCCTGGATGCGCCCTGGCACCCGGCGAAGGGACCCCGCTGCTCAACCCGGTGAGTATGGCTGCAGCGCGGGGCTCCCAGCTTCCCTGGTCTTCCTTGCGCTCCAACTCTGTTTCTCTTCTCTACTGTCTTTCATCTTTAAACCTTCCTTTTCGAATTTGTGATAAAACAGGACAGCACCGAGGCTTCCTCTGCTTTCAGAGATAGCAGCACTTCTGTTTGCTTCCTGCACGGTCAGCCTCTCTGGCAGGAGGTCATTTTTTGGTGCGTGCGGTGATGGGACGCATATCCCCTCTCTGTAGCTCCGCATGGCATCTTCTCCACAGCTGTCTCGGCTGCTCCACCGGCTCTGACTCTCCTAGTGAGACCGCTGCCATGCACAGACGGCTCATTCATATTTTATCACGGGCCCTCTGCTTGCCAAGAGGAGTTCAGTATAGAGATGCGAATGTGGAGGGGAGAAGGGAAGAGTTTGTGGGGGGAGGGTAAACATAATAGGAGGCAGGTGGAAATGAGGGGTTCCAGGAAGGAAAAAAAGTGACAAGAGGAACACAGAAGAAGGATGAGTGTGGAAGAGAATTTACACGGGGGAGCACTGAGGTTATAGGGCAGAAGGTAGAGGAAAGGAAATAAAATGTGAAAAGAAGTGGAAAAAGGGAAAACACGGGAGAAAAGCAAGCATATTCTGAGCAGGAAAAGACAGAAGTACATTATGCTATTTCAGTTTCTTTACTGCTCAAAGGCCATATGAGCAGGAAAATCCTTGCTGAGTAGAGTAAGAACTGCAGACTGTCACACATGGAAGCAGGAAAAGAGGACAGAGCAACTATAGAGATCATAGAGAAGGGAAAATAACAGATGTGTCACCACTTGTGAGGTCTGTCAACTCCCCCTAGCCTCTGTCTACTCTCTCTTTCTCCTCCCACCTCAACAAGGCTTCCACAGCCAGTGAAGACTAAAGACAAAACATACAGGGTGGATGAGAGGGAGGAAACTCCCAGTTCATCTGCTGGATCTGAAGAGCAAATGTATAAACTCCTCTCCCCAGAGATGCTAGCCCATCACAGCAACTGGCCTTGCTGTCCCCAAGACACAACTGTGCAGTGATGGTCACTACTGCTCACTCCAGCTGTGCCTGGTTAGGGCTCTCAGTGGAACTGGAAGGGCTGGAGGAGAGGCTCATGTGGCAGAGCACCTGCCTAGCAAGTGTGAGGCTCTAAGAGGAACTGGAAGGCAAGAGACAGGAGGGTATCAGGCCAGGCAATGTCCTGAGCTGTGGGTTTTTTCAGACAGGGAAGGCTTCCAAGTCTGAGCTGTGGAATTAGATTTCACAGCGCAGAAAGCAGCTCACAGGTCTATAAATCTCAGCCTCCTCCTCCGCTTCTTTCTGTGTGTGTGGTTCCCTGCCACCCCCTACACACACACTTTCACTATTTTGTTTTCCTGGCTGTAGAAATTCCCCCTCCTTTTCTCCTCTTTTGCTATCTCACTCCCTGCTTTCATTCCTTGTCCTGTGTATCCTTGAGTGAGGGCACAGGTTGTCAGCTGGATGTCAAGGCCACAACAGTTCACTGTGGCCAGACAGGAACAAGGTGGGATGCAAACTGGCCACTCTAAGGGAATGGAGTGTGGGTGAGGGGAGCTGTTCATGACATTCCTCCCTAGGGATATGTGACTTTGTATCTCTCTCCTTTGTTGTTACTCCCTCCTTATTATTGTTACTGTTTAATTTTCTTGTTCTTTTTTACTGCTTGTTTTCCCTTTTTCTTTTTTCTTTTTGGTGGGACTGGGGTTTACAGTCAGGATTTTCAGCTTGCAAAGCAGGTGCTCACAAAACAGGTGCTCTACCACTTGAGCCACACCTCCAGTCCGTTTTGCTCTGGTTATTTTGGAGATGGGGTCTTGCGGACCCAAACCCCAATCCGTCTGATCTCAGCCTCCCAAGTAGGTAGGATTACAGGCGTGAACCACTGGCTCCTGGCTTGATTTCCTTTTCTTGGTACCACTATCTCCCCTAATTCCTTTTAGACAAAAACTTACCTGGCTACATTTCTTATACTCAAATGCCATACATGACTACTCACAAATAGAGAGCATCAGAAACATGCCTTGTTGGGCTGGTGGAATGGTTCAAGTAGTAGAGTACCTGCCTAGCAAGTGTGAAGCCCTTGAGTTCAAACCGCAGTACCACAAATAAATAAATAAATGAACAAATAAATAAATAAAACATTCCTTGTCCTTGTAAGTAGCCCTGTACACACAAGGTTGTACACACAAGAAATATTTGCCCAACACTCCCATGTCAGTCCTAGAGAATTAAGCCATGACCATTAAACACTCTAGGTTCCTCACTTCTTTTGACCTTACTCACTATTCTTAGCCAAAGAATGATGGCTGTGTAGATTCCCCTATGCCTGACTGGCTAATAGACTATTCTTTTCAATATTCTTAGCTGGTGGATGATTACGGGACCACTGAGGGTGCAGTCCAGCGAGTGCTGGTCCCAGCTTATGCCAAGCAGCTTTCACCAGCTACACAGCTGGCTATACAGCGGGCATCCTCAGAGACTGGGCCAGAAAATGGAACCAAGATGCCACCTCCTCACCCAGAGGACATGCTCAGTGCTGCTGCCACATTGGACAGTACCTTGGAGGAGTCAGGCCCTGGGAGCACTGGGGAGCTGAGACACTCTCTGGGTTTTACTGCTTCCCCGTGCAGGATCAGAGGGAGCGGGCAGAAGAACTCCAGGCGCAAGCGGGATCTGGTACTCTCCGTAAGTGAGCTCAATTTCAATCACTTTTTTTCAGTCTGGAAAGAGAAGTGAAGAACCTGTGTGTGTGTGTGTGTGTGTGTGTGTGTGTGTGTGTGTGTGTGTGTGTGTGTGTGTGATTTTAAGCTTCCAGAATAGAATGAATGGTGTCCTGAACCCTACTGGAATGGGAGGGGCCAGGAAAAACATGAGTCCTAGTCCTAGGGACAGGTGCTGTCTGCTCTCAGTCCAGCTTTCAGGTTTTTCTAGATAGAATGGCACCTTTCCTTTAAAGAGAAGGACTTACATCACATCTCCCAATGTTTTCATAATCCAGATAGGAAGATCTTTAAGGGGTTAAGCAGATGGATCACCAAAGGGTCACTCTTTCTTTCTCTCTCTCTTTCCTTCTTTCTCTTTTTCTCTTTCTTTCCATTTAATATTTATTTTCATTTATATCCAGATGTCTTATTTCTTACATTAAAATACAATCATGCTGCCTCAACCTTCTGTCCCTTCAGAGAAAAAAGGGAGAACATTACACAACCGGAAAGATGGAATGTACAGAGTAGGGAAGTTACTACTATACAAAGGACTGTACTTTAGCCAGTGTTCCTACGTGGCAAGAGGCCCCTTGGGGAAAAACCATCCTGTCCTGAGCTGATCCCAAACCCCAAAGATGCTGAGGCTACTAAGTACTCAGCTCAGTCATCCCAAGAGCTCTTGCAGGTAAGGAAGGGACCAGCTTGAACTAGGTCTACCTGCAACCTTCTGGATGTGGCTAGGAGCCCCCATTGACCCAAACCTAGAGATCTTCTAGGGAAGTAGTTCTAAGCTTGGAGTAATTTTGTCCCAGGGAACATTTGTAACCCACTGGAGACTCTATTGGTAGGTGGAAGGGTAGAGGAAGGGGAGAATACTAACATCTAGTGGGTAGAGGGAGGTATTCTGTGGAACATTCTATAACGCACATTCCATCTATTACCCTCCCCCAGCAAAGAATTATCCAGCTCCACATGTCAATAATGGGGAGGTTTGAGGGCTAGGGGCATGGTTCAAATGGTACAGCACTTGCCTAGCATGTGCAAGGCCCTGGGTTCAATCCCTAGTATCACAATAAATAAATAAATATGTATGCAGAGAATGAGAAGCTTTCTTCTAGGGTGATCACAGTCTTTTAGATCAACTCTGTGCCCAAAATCTTTTAGTAGCCAGGGGATGTCCTTTAGCCATGTAACGTTCCTGTTGACTAAGGAGTTTCTGCTCTCTGCATCATGACTGATGTGAAGTAACTGGAGAGTCCTGGTTGAAAGTGGAAGTCATCACTCACATGTCACCTAAATCTCATCATACCATGTAGTCCTCATCATACCATGTAGTTCATTTGTTCTTGTTACAGATTTAGTAAAGATCAAAACTAGCTGATCACTGTTTATACCTCCTTTATTTATGCTGCTTTCTATCTTCCTTTCCTTTTTTCTTGTAGAGCCTATCCTATTATTATTATTATGATTATTATGTTTGTTTTGAGACAGGATCTCACTATGTAGCCAGGCCAGCCTCAAACTCATGATCCTTCTGCCTACCCTCCTGAGTGCTGGGATTACAGGTGTGTACCAGCATGCCAGGCTCAGAGATCCTATTCTTGCTGACTCTTTCATTTGATTTGTTTTACATTTGAAATGCTGTTTTCCCCTAGAAACATCAC